TAACTATTAGCTTTGAATTATCTAGCTTAAACCATAACTTGAAACTAATTAGATTTAAGCTAAAGATATTGTTGTGAACTATGAATTAAAGATAAAATAAGCCTAAATTTAGATAGCTTCAATATGCGACTACATATAAAAACTTAATCCAATTTTAAATACTATGGTTTAACTAATTGAAGACAAAATATAAAATTAGGAAAATTTTGTGTATGCATACATAGTATAAATATGTAGCATATATTATTAAAGTCTCATGAATTCTTAAAGTCAATAATAGCCTAGCTACCATTTTCAGTCAAGCATTATGACATTAACCATGTATGTACTGTATTATGAGAAATCATATACATACGTACGTACAAAATAGAATAATTAGATAATTGACAATAAATAATATGAATAATTGAGCAATGGTTTTTGATGCTCATAATTGTACAAAATATATAAGGCATCTGATTGCAATAATTATATTCTTATATTGAAAATAACAGATTTTGTAATTCAGAATTAAAGATATTGATAGCCTCACTGTTAATAGAATCCAAAACTCGTAGATATATAGTATAGTATAAGTAGTTAGTAGTGCAAAAAGAGGAGAAAAATAGAAAAAAAAGCAGAAAAAAAAATAAAAAAAATAAAAAAAAAAAGAAAGAAAAAAAAAATTAAAATAAAAAGAAAATTTTCATAAATGAAAAAAATTTCATGCTGCATTGTTATGTTGAACATCTAATGCATCTTGTTAAATAGAGTTTTATAAAATTTGTATGTATAATACCCTTAACTATTTTTAGAATAGATAAGAAAAATCATAACTTCAGAGAATTTTTTCACTTGGTCACACCTGATAATCCAAAAGCAAATAAGAAGGTGGTCTGCCTTTCATATGTATGAAAATATACCTTACCTATGGCGATTACAAAGCCTGAGTGCTTTGTTTCCAATAAAGCGAAACTATGTTGAAGTCATCTTTGAAATTGTCCAAATTTTAAAGAACAATATACTATCAACAAAGTTTTGAAAATTATTGCATGCTCAGTACCTGAAGATGCTAAAAAGAAAAACAGTGAAGGTAATTGTATTAAATAGTTCATTTTATAATTGCTTGTACAATATATTAATTATTGTTGTTAATAGCAAATGAAAACATTTCTGATTGCGAAGACGATATTTCTACTACCATTTCTGAGATATCAATATCCAATTCTTTACCTACTAATAAATCTGTTTTATCATCTAATAAATCTACTCCATCTGCAAGCTCCTCTACTTCAAAAAAAAGACAAACATTTCTTGATAATTGTATTATATGTCAACTATCTGAAAAGGATAATCAGTATTTCGAGAATTTGATCTTACATATGATCGTATCAAATGGTCTTTCTTTCACTTTTATAGAAAACCAAGAAACAAAAGATTTTTTAATTTTATAATACCAACTATAAAACTACCTAATCAGTAATCGAATTCTCCTAAAGGTTTCAACGAAATTAAATGAAGATATTTTAGAATATGCATATGCAGATGGAGTTGGTATAACTGCAGTCTTCAATAGTTAGACAGACATAAAGCAGGAGCACCTTTTTGGTGTTGTTTTAATTACTTCTCAGGGTGTATCTTTAATTTGGAATACATATAATATCAGTAATCAATGGTCAAAAACTGAAAATATAAAAATTCTTATTAAAAGTATAATGGATAATGCAGAAAATAAAAGTATTCGAATTAACTGCTATATATCAGATTTAGCTAGTAAGTATATAGCAGCAAGGTACATTTAAATATATATTAATGTACTTATATTTATCTATGGATCTAGATTATTTTTTAATAAATATTATAAACTTTTTTTCTATAGATGACAACTAAGA